GCCGCCCGCACCCCCCGTGACCCCATGCTCGTCCGTTCGTAAAATGAAGCCACTCATCAGTGTCTACCGTGCAGTCATCTGTATGCCCGCTGTCCGGTTGTGTCTACCCCCGATATCTGAGTCGGGAAATAATAACTTTGAAAGGGAACTGCTATAACTCTACGCTGACGGGATTTGGTTTTAGTTCAGAAGAGAAATTCTCTTGAATAAAGTTCAATAAGCGAAATCTGCTCGTGATAAGTGAACAAGGTCAACCGTCCCCTCCTGCGACCAGCATCCAAGGTGGATACTCTCATAGGCTCATGGCCACGGTCACGCTCTCCAGGGGGCAGGTGAGGGACAGCCCCTCTTACCTGGATGTCGGAGTAAGAACCCACGGCGTTCCTGGCGGGAAGGGAAAAGACAGAGTCGGTTACGCTCTTGTTCTCCCACAGTAAGGAGGGAAGCCCTGAGGGCCTCCACGTGACAATGTTCCCAGTTTCCGCGACATTCCCAGTCTCCATCCCGGTCAGGGCACAGGCCCGGGCTGTGGGCTGGATCCTCAGTGTCAGGAGGCATCCGTGATCCTCTCTCATCGCTGATGTTTCTCTCTCTCTCTCTCTCTTCCTTCCTCTCTGAAACTAATGAAAAATATTTTTAAAAACCGAAACTCTTACCATGAACTCATCTTACACCTCCTCCCCCGGCGGCTTAAGGAGCAGATACAAACCGCAGCAGAGAGGGGACAGAGGGAGAACACCAAGTATTGCCCACTCGGTGTAATTCATGGTCTGCGCCAGGCCCCACGGGTGCTGGGAAAGGTACAGACACACAGGAGAACACGCAGTGGACACGGTACTTACACGGCCAGAGCTTCGACATACGGCCCGGAGACGGGGTGCTCCCGGACCCTCAGCTGTGGAGCAAGCGAGAGCGGTGGTCAGCGCACGGCAGGGGGTCCGTGCAAAGGCAGCTCTAGCGGCTTTTCCCACACTCTGAGGTTAAGGTCAAGACATCTGCCTTCACTTGACCCAGGAATAAACATCAAGGTTCCCACGGAAACCAACCTGTGAGGCATTAAAACCCGCCTCAAGCCAAAACCGGTTTGGCTCAGTGGATAGAGCGTCGGCCTGCGGACTGAAGGGTCCCGGGTTTGATTCCGGTCAAGGGCATGTACCTGGGTTGCAGGCACATCCCCAGTGGGAGATGTGCAGGAGGCGGCTGATCGATGTCTCTCTCTCATCGATGTTTCTAACTCTCTGTCTCTCTCCCTTCCTCTCTGTAAAAAATCAATAAAATATATTTAAAAAAAAAAACCCGCCTCAAGCCCGGCTGCTGTGGCTCAGTGGTTGAGCGTCGACCTATGAACCCAGAGGTCATGGTTCGATCCCCAGTAGGGGGTGTGCAGGAGGCAGCCGATCCATGAGTCTCTCTCATCATTGATGTTTCTCTCTCTCTCTCTCTCTCTCTCTCTCTCTCTCCACCCCCCCCCCCGCGCCCTTCCTCTCTGAAATCAATAAAAATATATTCTAATAAATAAATAATAAAAAAAATTAAAACTTTAAAATTCTAACAGCATTTTCTTAAAAGCTTAGGTATTTGTGAAATGTCCTACTTCACAGGAAATATTATCCATAGGATATCAGTTTGCCAAATAACCCAGTGAAGAACGGTGCTATAATAACAATACAATTTTTTGTGAGCTTCGTCTGCCTTTTAGCTTCATAGACGTGTTGGGATTGAGCGTTTAAGTGGTCCAACTATATCCTGGAACAAGAGAGAGCTAGAAACATCTTTTTGTGAGCTTCTACTGCCTTTTAGCTTTTTTTTTTTTTAATATATTTTATTGATTTTTTACAGAGAGGAAGGGAGAGAGATAGAGAGCTAGAAACATCGATGGGAGAGAAACATAGATCAGCTGCCTCCTGCACATCTCATACTGGGGATGTGCCCACAACCAAGGTACATGCCCTTGACCGGAATCGAACCCGGGACCCTTCAGTCCGCAGGCCGACGCTCTATCCACTGAGCCAAACCGATTTTGGCCTGCCTTTTAGCTTTATAGACGTGTTGGGATTGAGCGTTTAAGTGGTCCAACTATATCCTGGAATAAGTACCTTTCACACGATACTTGCTTAAAATAAAGAGCTTCAATTTAATAACTCATTTAATTCCACGGGCGACACGCTCCACTGATTTACCAAATAACAGTCCAGTCCGGCTGCAGCTCCCACGCACCTGCTATCACACAGCAGCACTGGGTAAGCGTGTGAGCCCGACGTGTCACGCGGGGACTCGTGGGGCCACAGGAATTCGTAAACACGGACACTGGGAACCAGCGACAGACGCTCTCACTCACCGCCTGCTTCCCCTGCCTCCCGTCACCTCTGCCCACCAGCAGGTCGTGGATTTTCTCGTTATAAACTTCAAAGAAGCTCATTTCCAGGTGATACCTGACCTGGAAGGAGAGAAGCTCAGCCTGCAACTTACCTCCGAACGCCCGAACGCGGTCTCCAACCTGCATCCGACGGGGACCTCCTGTCACCCGTCACCCTCCATCCTCCACCCTCCGCCCTCCGGCTCCGGCTCCGGCTCCAAGCAGAGCAAACAGCCTACAGACCCCATTGCTCCCGCGTCCTCGCTTTCCAATCCCCGCCCCCTCCCACCAGTAATGACCGTGTCCTTCACCAGCCCAGCTGTCCCCCTGAGAAGACCGGCCTCCCCCCGCCCCCTCCTGCGGTTCTCACAGCAGCCCCTCCTCATTCTGGGGCAGAGTTTCATGTATTAGCACTTAATGGTGCGTTTCTCCATTCCGCTCTCTGACCCACAGGGCCTGGGAGCTGAACTCCAAGCTCACACATCAGCTGCTTCACGCCCTAAGCCCGGGCCTGTGTCCTGCGGGGTTGGTGGGCCGCCGGCTGAGTGCAGAGACCCGCACAGCGGTGCCGGCTCTGTGCCAGCTCCCTCCGGCTCCGCGCGGGGGACACAGCAGATGCGCCTCCTCCACCCTCCTCCTCCTCAAATGCCACCAGGAGGAACCAACACCAGGCCAGAGCCCCGCCCTCACCTACCCCTGGACCTGTCTCTCCCTGGGGGCTTCCTCGGTGGCCCCGCCTCCCTCCGATGTGCACCCGCTTGGGCTCTCTTCTAGCCCAACACGAAGGCCTGCAGCCCCCGGCACTACCTCCTGGGTTTGGTGTTTGGCCACTTGAGCAAATAGGTCTTCGCAGAATCTGGGGATGATTCCTGGTTCTTCACCGAATCCCATCATCCTGCGTGAAGAGGGGAAGTAACACCAAGCAGGTCTTTAAAACTGTTGGGGGGCGGGGCCACGTGATCACCCCAAGTGGGCAGGGGAATAAGGGGGTGAAGCCACGTGAACACGCTGGAGGGGCCACGTGAGAGGTGAAGGGAGGCGACCGGGAGGCCTGGACTGACTTGTGTGGTGTGCACAACAGAAAATAGTTCGCTTTCGGAGAACGAGAAAAACAGATTTATTTGCGTGACGCTTATTCATCTGTGCAGTTCTTCAGTGTCTGGTAAGTGAATGTTCAAGCAAAAATATTAATTTTTATTAAATGTTCTATTATTTTATGTTAACGACGACTCATTTATTTCAGCCCTTTGTATTCAGCGTGTCTCTATCGAAATAAACCCACGTTTCTATGAACGTGGAAGCTTTTGGGTTTTTGCGGCCCACAGACACTTCGACCTTGTTTATCCGGCCTGCGCGACCCTTTGCGTTAGACGTGCTCACTTTACAGTAAAACGGGGCCAATGACTCTCACAAAGGTCAGTGACCCCTGGGCATAAACTGGAGCCGAGAGGTCAGGCAGCTGGACCAAGGGTGCGGGACTCGCGTGTAAACTGAGCAGACCTGAGCCCGGATCCCTGTGGTCTCAGAACTGTGTGCCGTCAATCAAGCCAGGCCGCTTCTCACGAAAGACGCACGCACGCACACACCCCCGCCCAGAGCCACGTCTGCGGCCACACTCACGTGTACGACTTCCCGGAGCCCGTCTGCCCGTAAGCGAAGAGGCAGGCGTTGTAGCCCTCCAAGGCGCGGGCCAGGAGCGGGGCCGCCAGCGTCTGGTACACGGCAGCCTGGCTGGCGTAGCGCGGGTGGCACTCGTCGAAGGACCAGAAGGAGACGTCGTAGAGGAAACTGTACGCCTGTCTCAGGTCCGGGTGCCGCACGGCGATCTCCTCCCCGTCCAGGAAGACCACCTGGGCCGCGTCCTCGTCCTTCTCTCTTCGAGAAGGAGCGCAAAGAAGGTCAAGTTGCTGCCGATATTCTGAGGATGATGACCTCAAAACTAGGTGAACATAACACTCCTGGGGGTGGGGGGATGAGGTTTCAGTTTTATGTGGAAAATACAGAGCAGCCCGGCCAGCGTGGCTCAGGGGTTGAACGTCGACCTGTGAACCAGGAGGTCAGGGTTCGATTCCCGGTCGGGGCACAGGCCCAGGTTGTGGGCTCGATCCCCAGTGTGAGGCGTGCAGGAGGCAGCCGATCCATGATTCTCTCTCATCACTGATGTTTCTCTCTCTCTCCGTCTCCCTTCCTGTCTCTGAAAGCAATAAAAACATTTTTTAAAAAAAGGAAAAAAGGAAAGAAAATGCAGAGCAGCAGGCGTGAAAAGGTGTGACCTACCTCTTGCTGAAGGGCCTCACGCGGACGGCCACCGTCACCTGACTGTTCTCCGCTTTTAAGGGGTCCCTCTCTGTGGAGGCCCTCTGGGCCGCAGCCTCCTCCGTGGGAGGGAGCGTACGCTCGTGTGACTCTTCCCTTTTATTTGCGAAAAGAGAGCGTTTTGGCTTCTGTTGACCTTGGGAGCTGGGCGTCCTGGGTCTCAGGGTGGACATCGCCGCGCTCTGAGGCTGAGGCGTGCCGCACCGTGGGGTCCCCGTGTGCCCGGCAGTGCGTTTCGTGGGCGTCCCTTTTCCTAAGCTTTCAGGCTCAGTTCTGTTTTTCGCAACATCCTTCCCGAGATTTCTGTGGTGCCAGCTTCCTGTTCCCGACGCTCTGACGTCCAACGGGCTCTGAAAGGGTTTCGTGGCCAGGCGTCCTGGGCGAGCCTCCTCAGCCTCTTTCTGGGGACGGATGGGCGTGCTATGACTGAAGTACTCACGTGTCACGCTGTCATTTGCTCCCCTGAAGGCAGAAAATGTTCCTCTGTCATTTTCATCGGCCACCAGTCCAGTGTCGTTGTCTTCAGGTGAGGGTGCGGATGATGCAATGGGGGAGTGTTTCTCATTATTGACAATCCTTACCGTCCTACTGGTGTCCCGTGAAGCACCATCACTTGCTGCAGCCCCTCCCACGCTCTGTGTCGTTGAATCTGCTCCAGCTGGTGTCCGCCTGTCCACGGAATCTGCTCTAGCTGGTGTCCGCCTGTCCACGGAATCTGCTCCAGCTGGTGTCCGCCTGTCCATGGAATCTGCTCCAGCTGTTGTCCACCTGTCCACGGAATCTACTCTAGCTGGTGTCCGCCTGTCCACGGAATCTGCTCTAGCTGTTGTCCGCCTGTCCACAGAATCTACTCTAGCTGGTGTCCGCCTGTCCACGGAATCTACTCCAGCTGGTGTCCGCCTGTCCACGGAATCTGCTCCAGCTGGTGTCCGCTTGTCCACAGAACCTGCTCGGATGCAACGTTGTAACTTAAGACGAGTTTCTGTCTTTCTTTCAGATGACTCTCCCACTTCACTCCCCAGCAACGATGACTCTTTGTTTCTTGTAACTCTCCTCTGAAGGGTCAGTCTACCGGCAGGGTTAGGGGTCAGGGGCGTATCTCCAGGTGTCTTACAGGCAGAGATCACATAGGTGCTGTTTATGTCTCTGAGTTTCCTTGCGGACCTCAGGAACGGGTCGTCGTTTTCACGCTCGGACACGTCCGAGCTGGACAGCTGCTCCCGGCTGCTCCCCAGGCCGAGGCCGTCCGGTGATGAGCTCCTCTGGGAAGCAGGAGCGCCGGGGAGGCCGCTGCTGTGCCCTCGGTGTGCCGTGTAGACTGACATTGGGGCAGCGAGTCACTCTTAAAAGTATGTCGTTGAAGACTCTAAGCTCTTCTCTGGATGCTCCTTTGACATCCAGCCGATCCGTTTCCAAAAGCATCTGTTAAGTTACAAAAAAAAAATTAGATTGCACAGACCACAAAGAGGCTTCGAAGACATGAGGACCTTCCAGGACATTAGAATACATCAGAATAAATGGCGACGTCCAGCTCAGAACTGTTTCCAAGCAGCTCAGACAGATCCCCTCGTAGAGCTGACGGTCATTATCTCACACATTATTTACATCCCCTTATGCCGATGCTACGGATTCCAAAGACAAAACCCCTATTCTTAGTTCCTTAGTCCAGAAGGAATAGACACATCACCCTGACATCAGGTCAAAGGTGCCAAGGGACTTAAAAGATGTGAAAAGTGCATGTCGGCAAAGTGCTGTTTTTCTTAAAGTACCCCCAGTGTGGGGAGCAGGGAGGGGGGTGAAAGGAAACCCTAGCACCTAAGTCAAAGACGGAGAAGGATTTTCGTAATACGTGTTGAGGAGATGTTACAAACAGGGATGCCTAGTGGGATATGGGCAGAATGATTTCAAGCCACCGAGGCTGAATCGGTCAAAATCCAAACAAGACTCCCGATCAAAAATATGAAAAACAAAACCATGGCCTTACAGGCCGGAAATGCTCAATATACAGGACGTTCCATCCGGGTTCAAAGAGGAAGAGGCAGGTTGCAGCCTTAATCCCCAGTAGGGGAGGCAACCAATCAACGATTCTCTCATCATTGATGTTTCTCTCTGTCTCTCTCTCCCCCTCCCTTCCTCTCTGAAATATATATATGCATGCATAATATGTTAATTAGGCCGGACGTCCTTCCAGACGACCTTCCGGACAAAGCCGGGGCCATCAGCCAGGGGAGTTTCGAGCATCGGGCCTCCAATATATATCTAAAAATTTTTTTAAAGAACAAAAATGCCCGAAGTCCACTTTTAAGGGCATCTTTTTGAAGTTCTAAGTAAACAACACCACCCTGGGCATGAGCATCTCCGGGCAAGCTTTCCAGTCCAAGGACACGCCCTTCCTCCTATGCAGACACACGGAAGGCGAGCAAGTCCGCCGCCGATGGACACTCCGCTGCTCGCACCCACGGGCGGGCCGTTGGGGCAAGTTCTCCACCCGACGGGACGGACCCTCGGGAAAGCAGTCACCGCCCTGCCCAGCGTCCCCGCGGTTCTGGGAGTCGCTGGTCACTGCGGTGAGACTGGACCGGAGCCTGAGGTCCGACCGCCGGGTCCGTCCGGCCGTCCTCCCTCCCTTCCTCCGTGGAGGCCCGGAGCCGAGACCACCGCCCGCACCCTTACTACCGCACCCCCCCAGGGCCGCACCCCGACACACGGCACCCCCACCTCGTACGCCCCCCACCGCCGAGAAGGCCCGACACGGTGCCCGCGACACTCACCGCCCGCTTTCCCGGTGCCCACAATTTGAATGGGCGCTCCGCCTTCTGATTGGCTACTGGAAGCCGCACTCTGATTGGCTGCTGGGCGTCGCGTTCTGAAAAGCGGCTGCGGCCGCGTCGGCGCCGCCTTCTAATTGGCTGCAGGGTGTGGCATTCGGATTGGCTGCTGGGTGCCGCACTACGATTTGCGCGCTGACGTCGGGTCGACCCTGCCTCCTGATTGGCTGCTGGACGTCGCGTCGGGACCACGCCTTGGCTTCCTCCCGCCCCTCCCGGAAGCGCCGGTGGCTGGGTCTCGGGGAATCGGAACGCTGGACCCTGGGGCAGTGACACTCGTCCACCTTCAGGGAGCCCGTCCACCGTCAAAGTGGCTGATTGTCCCCACTGGTCATCGCTGCGCTTTTCTAGGGTTTCGGAGGCAGAGCGCGGCGATCGGAACCGACTGAATGTTTTACCTGGAGTTTGTTTCGCTTAATTCTGAAAACCACCAACTGGAACGGTCTCCCAGCCCCGCGAGGAGGGAACGCCAGGTGCTCCCACGCGGGCTGTGGACCCGAGCAGCGGGCAGCTCAGAGCTCTGTGCCCGCATCGCATTCGGGCCCCGCTGCCGGGACAGCAGCTGTGCACGATGCCCGCGTTTCCAAACCTGCTCCGAACTGGACTCCTCCGAGTAGGAGTTCCTTGAAGGACCGATCACACCCTGCTTGGGGGGCCCGGGCGGTGTGGCTCAGTGGCTTGAGCGTGGACCTATAAACCAGGAGGTCACGGTTCGATTCGGGGGTTGTGGGCTCCATCCCCAGTGTGGGGCGTGCAGGAGGCGGCCGATCCATGATTCTCTCTCATCATGGATGTTTCTCTCTCTCTCTCCCTCTCCTTCCTCTCTGACATCAATAAAAATATTTAAACAAAACAAAAACCTACGTATCACTAAAATCACTTTACCTCTCAGGCTTGGTTTCTGTGCTTGTAATATGAGATAAAACATCAATGATTGCTGGAAAATTCAAGTTAGAGAATACTTTGGAAATGATTTTTAAAATGTGACTGGTTACTGTCTATCAATATAATTGACACACGTTTTCACTGTATACCATACAGGCACCTGTCAAGTATTTGTGAGAGCTGCAGTAGCCGATGTGTATGAAAGTGGGAGCATGTTGCATGAGATGGGACTCCATAAATGAATGACCTCAGAAACCAACTGCATCTGCCGTCAACTAGGAATCCTAGGGATAATTTTCCCGTAGTTTCCGATCTCATTCACCACCAGCTGCCCACTCCCCTTTGTTTGAGCCCCTCCCTAGCTCTGGCCTCGGAGAAACAGGGGCCCCACACCTGCATTCTGGCCTCAGCTTCCCCCTTCTCGGGGACCTCCCTCCATCAAAATATTCCTCTTTCCTCCTCACTGCCCCAAATAACCCAGTTATTCTGAAAATAAACGCACGTCTTTTTTTAAAAAATCCACCAGAGGGAGACAAACTGAAAGAAAACACATGGAAAGAGGTCAGAGTAGGCCTGGCTGAGTGGTTGAGCATCGACCTAGGAACCAGGAGGTCACAGTTCAATTCCTGGTTGAGGCACATGCCCTGGGTGTGGGCTTGATCCCCAGTGGGAAGGAGGGGGAACGTGCAGGAGGCAGCGATCCATGATTCTCCCTCATCACTGATGCTTCTCTCTCCCTCTCCCTTCCTGCCTGAAATCAATAAAAAAAATTTTATTTTTTTTTAAAGAAGTGATGCAAGCCCATTGGAAGCCGTTTAGATCAGGTTAAGGGTCACAGGAAAACCTTCACTCGGGCCAGTTAACAGTCCCTGGGGACAGAGATTTATCATAAATTACTCAATGCCATCGTTTTTAAATCGGTAAAACGTGGGCTGTATCGTCCTGCTTTGTAGGAGTTCGTGTTGCGTTGCATTTTTTACTGCTGTTGTCTTTGGGACTCTTCAAATCCCTGCAAGAGTTAAGCACAAAGGCCGTTTTAAATTGGGCAGATCTTGTGTTTTCTTTCTAAATTCGAGCACGTGTCGGGCCAGGAGCCTTGGGAGTATGGGCGCCTGCACGTTGTGGTCTGATCGGCTGATGAAATCTTTAAGAATTCCATCGTGACCACTCGGTGACGCAACCTAAATCCATTGAGCAAGTCTGCCCGGCATTTGAACAGAGGCCGTCCCAGGGACCTCGCGTAATCCCTTTTTAATACAGAAAGAGGAGAGCTCGGGGATTAGTACCTGTTCCAGACGCTCTTTCCTCTTTGAATCACGCTGGGTTCATTCCAGAGAAGATTAGTAGGAGTCAAAAACCCATTGTCAGCCCCAGGGCCTACTGGGTAACCTGTTTGTACATCAAGGAAGCTCTAGGGTTCAGTGAGGATGGAGGGAACCGTCCCCCGGGGTTCTGAGCAAGCCCTGAGACCCTCATCATGAAGGGAACAGGACCCATCAGCTCTCTGCTCCAGGAGATCCCACCCGGCCGGTGTGGCTCAGTGGTTGAGCATCGACCTATGAACCAGGAGGTCATGGTTTGATTCCCGGTCAGGGCACATGCCCAGGTTGTGGGCTCCACCCCCACTAGGGGGCATGCGGGAGGCAGCCGATCAGGATTCCCTCATCATGGATGTTTCTATCTTCCTCTCTGAAATGAACCCTATATAATAAAAGCCCAGCAACCATAACGGTGTAACGACCAGATCGACCAGTCACTCTGAGGCGCATTGACCACCTCTCGGTCCCTCCCCCCATCCCGCAGGCTCTGTATGGCCAACGGGAACCACAGGGAGCCAGGGTGGGTGGCGGCGGGGCGAGACTGGGGACTGGCGAGCGGACAGAAGATGGCCCTGATCACAGGCTAGGCCGAGGGACCCTACCCGTGCACGATTTCATGCACTGGGCCTCTAGCGCAAATATATTTTAAACAAAACAAACAAACAAAGAGTGGTCATTGTGGTCCAGTCCCAGGCTCTCTCCTCCGCATGGTCAGTGGTTCCGTGAAGGCTCCACGTAAACCTGTTAGAGATTCGGCTTCCACCCGGGGCCTCCCAGCTTGTGAGGCTGCGTGTCAGTAGCCTCGTTTCTGCCCATTTCCCTAGACGGCTCAGATCTGTAGTCATCCGGCCCATTCCTGGAATGTGGCACCCGATACTCCGCGTCCTCACAGGCTCATCCGAAACCCTCCCTTCTCACCTGAGGACACCAGGGACTCAATGCTCCCATTGTGCCCAAGGTGCCCGCCCGGGGTAATTAGGAGGGTGCACCGCCCGCAGGGGGGCTGGGAGCGGGCAGCGTGGGGTGCCTGCTTGTGCTCCCTGCCTGTGCTCCCCGACTCTCCTCTCTGCATAGGACACTGGCGGGTGGGGGGTGACAGTCACAGAGTTCTCCCTTTTTATCTTCTCTTAAAATATATTTTTTTTATTGATTTCAGAGAGGAAGGGAGAGGGAGAGAGAGAAACATCCATGATGAGAGAGAATTATGGATCGGCTGCCTCCTGCACGCCCCTCACTGGGGATGGAGCCCGCAACCCAGGCATGTGCCCTGACCGGGAATCGAACTGTGGCCTCCTGGTTCCTGGGTCGAAGCTCAGCCACTGAGCCACACCGGCCGAGCTGTAAATTGCTCCTTGTAAACATATCTAAATAGTAAACATCTGCCTTCTACTTCCGGGCCATTCTGTGCAACGAGGCTGCACATGCCATACGTTGTAGCAGGTGACTGTACGGCAGGTCCTGGCGGGACGGGACACGACCGCTCACCTAATTATCCCTGGTCGGTTTCGGGCGGCAGCCCGGCCGGCGGGGTCACACTCGGGGAGCCTCTCGGACAACAAAAGGGCCCTATCTCCCCGGAGTCGGCTTACTGGCGGCCGCCAGGACAGTCACCTTGAATGA